CTCGCATATCGCTGAATCGGGATGGAAAACGAAGAATGCATTCGGCGCGGCCTCGTACAACTTGGCTTTGTGGCAGCTAAACTCGAGTAGTAGAGTCGTATTGGCCTTGAGGTTCTCGTTATATGGCCTGGGTCTGAGACAGAAAGAGTCGTTTGTCGGTTCTTTTGGAAGCGTGACCATCGCCTTGTCGATGACAAAGTTTCGAGTGCTAATATTCTTGGTGAACTTGAGTGATATTCTCCAGTCTTGCACGGTCCCTGGAACTTTATATTCAATGATCATTTTAAATCCAGAATCAGACTCGTCAATTGGCTTCAGTTGATATATCGGGATTAGCTGTTGAAGCGGTGTTGTTGGCTGGGTGAGGAAAGAACAAAACACGTTATAAATTACCATGGTCCACTTTTTCTTGTTAGTAATCTCAAATATACTAAACAGAATGAACACTTTACAGCAAAGATACAAAGTTGTTTAGGCAGGAGATTACAAGTGAAACCTTGCAGACGGTGGCTGCGCCCGCGGTACGAGCGGCGGGCAAAACTTAGCTGTCCTACCGAAACGACACAATACAATAGCCTTTTTCCTCACAGCTAACAAAAAATAGAGACAATTCTAAGGTACTTTTGCTTCTTCTAATACTCAACTGAAGAATTCTGGGTTTAGTTTGACGAGGAATAGCATGTTGTGTCCAAATTGTCTAAAATGACACAACTATTATCCTACCTGACGAAAGCGATCGAAGAGCGAGTTGCCGAGCGCGGGTGACCGATTTTTGTCACCAAATTAAAAGGTTGGAGACACAAAATGTTTCATAATTTTCACTCTTTACAATCTGTTATGGTTTTTACAGTCAAAAAACTCTTTCTCGTGAACATGCCGTCTCCATTGAGAAGAGATGCCTGACTTCAATTAACATGCATTTGACGTCAGGAGAGTAGAGTTTTTCCCGCCTACAGAATCCTCATTGGTTAATTCAAATTTCAGGCGCGCCGGCCGTATGCAAGGAAAAGAAAATCGTCGAAGAACGAATTGTCCCTCATTCTTCTACAATCCCTTTGTTTTCACATCTCTCTTGAGCAACCACTAAGTTGGGTTTAGCTAGCCCTGTCTCTTCAAAAAGTTAAGCCGTGTGCGCTCGGACCAAAGTGACATACATCACTTGTGATTATGCTGCTTTCTGTGAATCATGACCCAGACGCACTGTTATCCCACCCCCGGATATATGGGATGCAAGTCAGTCCCAGGTCACCTCCAACATTTTGTCAGGTAGTCCTATCTGTTGGCCGGTACCCATTTACACTCGTGGACACCTCCACACCCTGATCATAGTGGCTTTTAAATTCTTTTCGAACTGACAATTCAAAGTATAACAAACACGTTATGAGAAGAAAGCAACCAATCACAGTGCCATTTTACTTACTGGGGGCTCGGTAGGGAGTCTAGGAATGACGTTTCCACCCTTAAACAGAACCGTGACGTTGCCAGGGCGTCTGTTTTTCTGGCTTTTGTAAGCCACCACAGCAAACGTGAGGGTCGTTCCATTCTCCAGTTTTTTGGTAAAATACAAATCCTTGAGAGCGTGTATCGTTTTGTCTTTAGATACCTCAGTGTCCATCCATTCTGCTCGCCACACGTCAATCTTTTTAATTGGTTGCGAAAATATCAGTGCCATCCTCCAACCGTTGGAGACAGGGTACTGCATTTTGACAGTGATGATCAACTTGAAGGCCTCGGCCCAGTCGTGCTCCAAGTCTGCAGTGCCATAGATCATTGGATCAGCGGTTGTACACCTTAGAATTGCCACGAAGGCCACCACACTTGTCCAGTAGATGTGCATGATTCCCTTTTAAAAACAAAGAAATAGTCGATACCGTCTTAATATTCAGAATAGTGGTCCTTCGAAATAATTCAGTTTACTATCAGTTAGAGATTTACTTTTCTAAACTATGTGATGAAACAATTTACGTTAATTCTGCTAGCGGAGAATTGTTTGTTGAGGCAGAATAAGTGGATTTAAACTTGAACTCACTCCACTTACCTCAGTCATTTCTTTTTTTCTTTTTTTCGTTATTTGTTATTTATAATCATCATAAACACTCTAAATACCTAGGAGGATAATTTAACTATGGACCTTGCCTTAGTCATAACTTTTTCATGGACACTGCTTCAGTTTCTTGCTCAGTCATATTATTTTTTTCTGGTTGCGGCCCGCCATGAGTACGATCCGTATAATGAGATTAAGTAACTTACTGGACAAGGATCCATAAGAAGGAGAAATATTATAAAATAAAGATCAGATTTGACCTTCGGGCAGGAAAAGTACAAACGAAAGATCCCGCTTGTAGTCTAGGCTTCCTCCCGCTTCAGCGAGTGATAAAGTTACTCCTTATCAAGCATCAAGCTATAATCAGCGTAAAAAGACTCGGCTACAACTAATACTTTTCAAAAATTCAATTTAAAATGAACAAACGTTTTCTCTTCATGACTCTTATTCAAATGTAAATGTGAAAGTTAAAATTTTACAGCTTGTTCGCAAATAAATTAAAACTAAATTAGATTTCTTTTAGTTCGTTTTGATATTTCAGCTGCGGTAAACGTAATTTGCCATTTTCTTCCGGTGGGCTTTGTAAATTATGCAAGAATTAGGATTAAACTGCTCCTTCACGATACTGGGCAAAGCCTCCTTTTTCCCCAAAAAGATTTACTATTTTAGGATAGGAAAACTTTTTGACGCAATGACAATGAAACTAGATACAAGAAATTGAGGCGTTTTATGACGTAATTTGCTTTGTTCAAAATGGTGTTATCGAACGCCTGTGTAATAAATGCAACCAGGGTTTAACTGCATTCTCTTGAATGCCGATGCGTCTTTTTTCCATCCAAACCCAGCAACATACTTGCGTAATATTACATGTATATCAGAAATGCTTCAGTCGTGGAGCAAGCTTGCTGTTCAATTTGGATGCCTGGGAGGTCAACACGATTGCCTGAAAACAAATCAAAACCCCTTTGACATTTTAAGGAAGCAGCACATTCTGTCGGCGTATTTGAAACAGTTTTTAGTTGTGTCTGCAGTAGACTAAGAGTGTTTCTGCCTTAATAAAAATATCAGTGGGTTTAAGAAAAGACGAAAGAAAAATACGCCCAGTTAATAACGGATCATCCATAACTCAACGCCAATTTTTAAAGGCGCGAGATTATTGTAACCGTTCTCTTACTTTAGCTTTCTTACTTCTTCTTCTGATTTCTCGTCTGACCGTTTGAAGCTCGGTTCTTCGTTGGTGACCAGCTGAAAAAGTGAGTAACAAGAACTGAGTTCTTACCTTAATATATCCTGTTTTACCCCGGCAAAAGCTGAGCCTCTTGAACAATCCCAGACTGTCCAAATAATTGAAAGTAATCTTTCCCTTTGTTTTTCCTCCCTGTATAATGAAATCGTACTAAAACAAATAAACCCTGTTGATCAAATAAAACAGTTTCAATCGCTAATGTATCTTTGATCCTCAGTTTTTAAAATATTTGCTGTCTGACTGTTCTCCGCTAATAGCCGTGAAAAGGCGAATGACACAGTGAAGGCCTAACAGTGACAAACCGGCATTTGCTTATTGGCTAAAAGTAATTTACCTGTACCTTTTCTCCCGACTCGGCGATAATAAAAGCTAAAGCTATTCAAAGAAAACTAAACACAGTCGGATAAACTAAACAAAACGACTAGGGACCATTAATTGTGAAGTCTGTTACGGATTCAATTAGTCTGGCCCTGACGTAAGTTTCCACACGCACTATTTGTTTTCTACTAGCCTACCAATACCCTTTTACTTGCAGTCTTACATCTTAGCCGGGACAAAGAGGGCTCGGTAAGTAAAGACATTAGTTATTCCTTTCACTGGATGTTACAAATGTTCCTTTTCCTTTGCTGATCGTCACTCCAAGAAAAATTGGGCGGGGATGTGTGGCCCGCTTCCTAAAACCCTTAACCTATTTAAAACCAAAATCTGCGATTGTCCCTACCCCACATTTGGCCTGACCAAACATTCGATGCCATATTTAAGACCTGACCTTAAATCAATACCTTGTTTCATACCTGCCTTATAATTATTTCCCTTGTTCAGACCGATGTTAGATGCATTGTGAAGGACTTTTGTTGATGTTCTTATCGATAATAATGAAAAAGAGACTTCTTCTAAAGAAACATACCCAATTCAAGCCTAGAGTGCAAAAACCATACCCTATTTGTGACCGAAAAGGCCCAAATTGATACCCTACTTGACGGCTAAAGACCATCATACCCTTAGGAGCCATACATACCTATATCGCTCATATAAGGGAGTCCCCCCGGATCGTCAGGAACAATGAAGCAGACATTGCTCATCACTCTTCTGTGTCATATCTGGGTGAGTCCTAGGTGTTACCCCAGGAAACAGTTAAGCCTCTTCAACAATCCAAGACTATTCAAATAAGAAACTAATTAATCCTCCCTTTCTCTTTTTCTGTCTCTCTGAATTGCAATTAAAAGAAAACAAGGCACGCAAAAGACTCAATCAAAATATATCTTAACTGTACCTTCAAGGGTCCGGGAGTTAAGACGCTTTCAGTTTATTCCTCAAACACCAGAAGTGTACTTCCATGTTTTTTCTGTAGTTATTTTGACTGATATTAAATTAGCTTTGTAGACCATTTTACGCGATGTTACTAAATATTTACTTCAGAAAAAGAAAAGCTTTCCATGTGTATTTATTTACCCTGGTCGTTCCGTTTGAATCATTTTTCTCAAACTCATTAATAATTCATCAAGTTTAAACAAAGGAGATCATGACCGTGGCGTAGATTTTTACGATTTTTTTTTCTTAGTTTTCTCCTTGGTTTAAGTTTCGATTGAGAAGATATATCAAACATTCAAGACAGTGCTTGACATGATTTTCCAAACACCTCAAACTTCGTCAAAAATGCTCCGCTACGCATACGTATTTTCAACCGTGTCATTTCGGTGTTTGGAAATGTGCTCAGACACGGTCTTTCGTTTTTGATGTATTACATTAACATCCCTGTCGCCAGTGTAAAAAATGTTATAGATAATTTGGCTTTTTTTATGTCCGTGTACTATTAGCGTAAAAACATGTGGGGATATGAGCTCAAAGCCTCAAAACTGGGACCACTGGTATTATTTAATTGCTCTGTTTAGTTTCTGTTGGAATTCCGAATCGTTGTACCCTGCTAGACAGATATTCTCTTCTCTTTCTGTTCGGTAAGAAGTGAGAGGGAAACCTCTGCTCTCAATCGCTCGATCGTGTGATCAGCCGTCGTCCACAACCAGGGACGAATAAGTTAAAAATACTGGTTTTTTGACAAGTTTTTACCGGTTTATGACTAACGCATGACGCTGCCCATTTACTAGACTGCTCACAATATCTACTGCCCTGTGACTGGCTACAAAATTACAATTGGCATGACAACACTGCACTGCAATGGGTTCATCAGGTACGTATCAAATTCAAAACTTTTATCCGATGAACAACTGACAATTGCTGATTGTTTGCTGTTTGCACAGTTCCAGAAACTTGCTGTACATTAACTCACCTTAACAAGCTATCACTGTCAAAGTAGCGCGAGTTGAGGGTTGATAGGCAGGTTATTAAGCCTAAATTTTCAGTCATTCAAAAACAGTTTGTGTATCTGCAGCTACCGTGTGGCTCGAAATTTTTACGGGTTCTAATTTTTGCGATTTTTTTTTCCAAAATCCGTAAAACAAAGTTCCCGCAAAGACTTTCTCCGCAAAACATCAGGTTTTATTAAGATAACGTTAAGTAGCGAAAATCTATCGACAATAATAACATGGCCAAGTTTGAGAGTCACATCTTGTACTATGTGGCTTGGCCACCATATTACTTATGAGGTGCTCTTTCTAGCAGTACCAATAAAACTTCAATACAACTGTATGGATAATATTAAAAGTGAATAATTTAAAAAGAAGTGGATTGGAACTCGCTGATGAAAGAGGTTTCTCCTTTACACTGCCTGGTTACTACATGCACATGAACAAACAATCAATGCACACACGGCCATCAAATCAGAGATATTTTTATTTCTGTTCTACAGACAGCATAGATTAATTCTCAAAACACTTAAATACAGCAAAACTGAAATGCAGTTGACACGAGCAACTTTCATCCTTCATAAAATGTGGGAAGTTCATTTCCTAGAAGAACTCTCCTTTCAATGCCAGACTCATCAATGGCCGCCATACGTATAATTCCACCAGATGAACCATCACGGGACATAGCCAAAGCCACGGCTGAAAGCCAACAAAAAAAGTGACAATGTAAATTTAAAAGTTTTCACAATGAAATCTACCAAACGAAAAAGGAGCTGTTCATCACTCTGGAAATTTTGGAGGGTGTTTCGAACTCATGGTCGAGTGAAGAAATATGAGGCCTGCACGTCAATACAAGAAATAGAAGAGTTCAATGTTTGCACTTCATGTCATTAACAAAAATCAAAACTTCTGGTCCGCTCTTCTCCTTTACACCATTATCAAATGTTCACACACTAAAGGGGGTATCTCAATGTTCCTGAATCCCCTTGGGATTAGTCCCAGTCCTCGTGTAAGTGAATCATTAAATTGGCAAATCAGAGGGACTGGGCCTATGAACAGTAAGTTTGGTAACCAACATGAATGGCTAAATGGGTTCCAAGGCAACCATGAAAGAGTCTATTAAAAGTCATAGAGAATGCTGGGGCAGATCAAGGATTTTTCAGGGGGAGGGGGTGGATGGTATCTTAGGGTTGCAGAATCAATGGGGCATGCCCCAAAAATGTAGCAATTTGAAAATTAGAAATTAATTGAAAACTGTTACCCCCTAAATACTTGCAAATACCTGTCCAAAGCATTTGCCATAATATTTAAATTCTTTTTCAATACTTTTTTATGTTTTGCTTCTCTAAAAGGGGGATGACTAGCCACCCAATCCCCCCAGGGTTGTCACTAAGTGCCGGCTGCCAGCAAAATTCGCCAACTGAGAAAGAGGTGATCGCCAGCTGGATTTTGGCAGGTGACCACTTGGTAAGGGACAACGAATGGTCTTAAGGTTACAAACGTACAATCATTCGATAGCTGAACCATACTGAACCATCTAAATGAAAAACTTGGAATAAATTCCCGACTACCTTAAGTATCGGTGGTAATATAACGAGTAAAGTAATTGAAACAAAATCTTGTTTTAAGCACTTGTTTAGCATGTTCTCTTTCCGTGTATTGCCTCCGCCATCTTATAAACACAAAGCGTGGTAACCCTGCATTCAAGACATTGCACAAGATTGGGGACAAAAATTTTGTTCCAGGTCTCTCGCAAAAAATGGTGACCAGCTTAATGAAAATCTTAGCCAGGAGTCTATTTTCTTAGCTACAACACTGTCTCCCCCCCCCCCCCCCCCCCCCCAAAAAAATAAGCCCCTGGAGAATGATCTACAAGTACACTAAATAAACTATTGTTCCAAACAAACACCAGGTGTGTACAAAAAATACTCATTAGTCAATTTTCCAGCCAATGCAAGACACTACACACATAATGTAAAATGACATTTTTGTCAAAATAATGTCAGGTGAGGGAAGAACTGACCACACACCAAAAGGCATTGTTTCTATACACTCAGAATAAACCACAGATAAATCATTGGTATTTAATGTAGTCCAAAATAGAGTATAATAAAAAACTTTTCACTGTGGGTATTGTAAAATTGAAATTACACTGCATGTTTCACAAACTACATACCATTTGACACAAATGTGAAGCACTCTTCCTTTGTCATGCCAGGTTTGAAAGTAGCATCACAATGGCCATAGATATAGGTACTTCCAGATCCTGAAAATGAGTAACAAACACAAACACAATGTAACACTGGATGTTGCTCTTTATAACAGAAGCTATGACCGATCACAGTTCAAATTATTCAAATGGAAAGTTCCACTATAAACGTAGATGAAAAGGCTTCCAGCATGCATTTCATTTCTTACACAAAATGAATTTAAAAGGAAAATTATCTTCCTAACAAAAGTAAACTAATCTGAAAAAGGAAATCTTTTACTGGTTTAAATACCTCCTATTGCAAATGGCTGCCTCACACACATTCCACCCAGAGGAATTAAAAACACCTGAAATGAAGGGTATCAAATGCATACATGTATAAGATTTTATGTGTATAAGATTTTATGTGTACAAATAAGTCAGTGGAATCAATTTTATCATAAATATGATGAAACTACAAGTAGGTTTTAGAAACCTCATGTTCCCAAGATATTAACTCCTTCTACATCTTCCCTCAAAATAAAAATTAACAGAAAAAGTCATCCATTTTAAACAACCCTAATTTAAGAATCTGCGTTGCTTTTGGCATTCTTTTTCTGGTATTATTATTTCTTTCTCAACCATTTTTTCGAAGTTTCCTTCAATTTACAGATAACATAGTCCTTCAAAATACAGATTACTAAGTATGTTGTCAATATGAGAGCACTACACCTGTCCTCCTTGTCGTTTGTCCCAGCCTGCACAGATAATTCCAGCAGTCAATTGATCACGGTTTGCATAGCAAATCTCACGAAAGACATTTGCTACTGTTTTCACGAGTGGCTGCTCTCCCATTTCAATGCTGAGAAGATGCACAAGAAAATGTGAGAATTTTACAATATGACCTGTTGATTGCACTTGTTATCTTACCACCCTTCTGGTCATTGGGTGATTCCAGAAAATATCCATACAGTATACCTATATCACTGGCAGGTTTTTAGAATTCAAAGGGCAGGAGAGGTTCTTTGACCTGGAAATCCAAAGGTATGGGGGTACTTACAATTGGAATTCCGAAGGCATTGGGGGGTTCTAGAGAGGAAAGAAAAGAGTGTGAATACATAATCAAACTGATGACACTGCCAATGACCCCAGAAAGCAAGATACAAGACAAGTGTAGATCAGTCACGCATGTGTTTGCATTCATTCATTCGAAAACCTATAAAATCTGGGTTTTACATTTGGCTTCAGAGGGCTTAAAGGTGATGAATTTCTTGTCAAATTAATCGTTTGCAATGAATGCCGACCTGCTAAGTTGGTTTACTATGCGCGAGCAATTCATATTCATGAAGAAACTGCTGTAATGGTGTCTGATGGAGTGAATGTGGTTCGTAATATCAGAGGTAAATAATTTGCAGGATTTGCCACGCATTTTCTAATTTCTGTAGTAACTAACACACAAAACAATTGAAATTTTAATTTATTTCTTCACTAGTTTAGTCAAACACTAGTTGCAAAATTGCAACGAGGAGGAAGTTTTAGTCACCGAACATTTAGTCACAAATGCATGCGATCGTATCAGTCACAATTTTGCGCCCTGTAGACAGTTGTTTGACTGAAAATCATTAGCAAAAACTTCTGGGCAGATGTAAAAGCGTAAAATCTCTCTCATTAGAAATCGTAAGGAGTCAAACAAGGAATTCCAGATGGTTGAGGTAAAATATGGAAATCCAGAAGAGAGGGGGGTTAATGATTTTAGAATTCTGAGGGCATGGAGGTAGAGCATTTTGGAATTTCCGAACGCAAGGAGGGTTAAAATGTTCATGCCACCCATGGTATGATATGGATACTCTCTGAAATCACCCAATAAAATAACAGGTATAAAAATCAAAAGTAATTCCATATGATAATCAGAGTATTTGCACTTGATTTATTTTCAATTCCTTTATTTTAATTAACGCTGACCTATTGTTGAAAGCCCTTCCTATTCCCCCTGGTTTCTAAAAATAACAGAGTTCAACTGTAAGTACAAAGTTAATACCTGTGAAAGTTCAAATGATATTTAGCAGCATCTGCTATGGCTTGAGTAGCAGCGGCAGATCCTGATCGGCAGCAAAACACTCTGTCTGTTACTGGAGTCAGCTTGTCTGTCACACGGTTGGCAATGTAAGCCCTAGTAAGTCAAACATCACACAGCTTTTTAGAGTTATAACACCACAAACATATCCCCACTCTATTATATCTAACATGCTTACTCAGATGATTGAAATTGGCACCCTTCTTTCAAAAAGCACCCATTCAATTAGACAGTCCCCCTTCCCACTAGCCAAAGGTAAGCACGGCTATTCTAATAATGTAGCCATCCTCCATAATTTGAGCCTAGAATACCAAATATCATTCAGTTTTGAGTTGAGAAAGAAATCCTTCTTTGGCTAGTCTAATCCTACAGGAGCAGATGTAAACAAGTTCACATTCTTTAGTTTGTGCACTTTTTCAGGGACGCAAAATGACAGGGAAGAAGATAAAGGTAATGGTAAGAGTAACAAAATAGTATCTGGTCCCAAACAAGTGCCCTTTCTCCAACAAGTACCCTCCCTTGAGGCTGCAAAATTTGGTCAAATTTCCAAGGTAGCAGTAATTGCATTTATTAAAACTTGACCAAAAATTCACATGAATGTGTGACGTGCTATAAGAGATGGCCTACATGAGATGTCAAACTTTTATATGAATACCGCTTGCAAGCTGATTTAAGCTACACTTTCCCACAGTTCAAACGATTTATCTGAAGAAGACAATAATAATGAGTCAAGTAACTAAACCAAATCCACTTACCCTGTCGTAGTGCGTGAGTCAGCGCCAATAACCACGCCGCCATCGAACTCTACCGCCATTATTGTAGTCTAAGAACACACCATAAATTAGATTCTATTCATACGGGAAAAACCTGAAGACAAAAAAGAAAAGCTTTTACTTACTCCTGTACGATGTTCTGCTCTTAACCAGTCTGGATAGTCGTCAGATGCCATGGTTTGTTCACCATGACTTAGCATTCCTCCTTGTTGAACAGCCGCCATGATGGTTTTTTGCTACCTCGTTCTCGTGCTTTCTTACGTTCAGGTCTATTAGAGTCCAGTTCTCCTCCAAATGCCTCACCAGCGAGCTCCCGAGTAAGCCTTTGGAAAATGCACTGGACAACTGAGAGACGAGAACATCAGAGTTAACACGGTATAGCTGTGACTGGCTTGCCTAAGACAGGAAACTGTACTTTTTCTTCGATCGCCCAGATGCCGGAGTCACTTTAATTTTTTTACAAAATAACATGGAATAAAATAGAGGTATAACGATACATGTGGTCCTACTAGCTTTTAATGTTTTAATGCGGCCAAAAGAAGCATTACAATATAAACCTTTGGTGGCATTAGAAGTTAATAATGCAGTATTAACTTCTGGGCCTAGTTGTTCAAAGTGTGGAGAGTTTTTCTGATCGTCATCCCACGGACTAGGTTAGTTACTTTAACTTTACCTTTTAACTTTTGTTTTATTTTATTTTGACCACGTGGACATAGCAATAGAATAATAATACAGATGATGCTTTATACATAGATATTTATAAAAGGCAAAAAGTAAAACAAACAAACAAAACAATGACAATAATAATAATAGCAATAACTTTATTTCTCTGTATGTCAAGTAAGAAAAGACTAGCAGGAAGATCAAACCTTCTTCTATTACTTTTTATAAAATATAAGAAGTACTATTTACTGAATAGAACAAAACACATGACAATAATTAAACTTTAGCAACGCTATATACTTGTTCAAACAAACTGCGTAATGAACCTGAAATTCCCACGACTTGACACTGACATCTTCGTCAAATATTCATTGTGCTGATAATTACTCCAGGCAGCTGCTCGCAAAAGCGATGTACAACTCTGATTAAAATGAACATGTTATGGGTCCCTCGTAACCTTATCTGTGACTTTCCAAGCCAAACCACTGATCCACTGACTTTACAAGCTAATTGGTAAGCCAATTGATGTTTTTATTTATTAATTATCGACACACCCAAGCTCAGTGGCGAAGGATGAAACTCTGGTGTATTGATTCACACGAAAAGAAGGGCCATGCTACAATGAGAATTAAATTATTTTAGGCAGTCCATAAGCTAGGCTCTGGACTCATCTGGTTACGGCAGAAACCGTCTTCTTTAACCTGCTGTTCGTCATAGCAAGTTCGAAACTGTGAATCAGTTTAACCGAGGCTAAATTAGAACCTCAGTTATCCACAGAGACTCTCCCAAGCTCAGCTGACTTACAAGTTTTTTCGTGAATTATTTTACTGATTTAACAAGATTCATGACTTGTTGATCTAAAAGATTATGTTTCGCAAGGATTCTTTTACGCTGTCTTAGCTTGTTATGTTTTATATTTTCAACAATGCTACGAGAGATAAAGAATAATTTCAAGCAAAAGGGAGACAATTGGAAACTTTACTTTTTCAAATTACATTATTAAGTGTGCATAAGTTAACACAGGCGAAGGTTATTAATCAGATTTATCCATGACAACGTTTTAAAACAAATCATAAGTAGAAAATGTAACTGAACATTTCTGGGCGATGAGTCCTCGCCATGAAAATTTAATCACTGCCAGTGGCTAGTCACTGTAGATAGGCTGCAAGTTTTATTTCATTGTTACAATAATTTGCATGTTGCTCATTAGTCAGGACATACCGAGTGACGAAAGTCAAATTACAACAGCTCTGTCGTGAGAGAGGCGATCAGACAATCAAAACAAGGAAATACAATAAGCCGGGAGATGTTTTTTTATGTTCCAGCAACTCTTGAGCTAACAATAAAAGAATTTCTAGTACTTACGAAGTTTCTGGCCAAGGCTTGCAGCGAATGAATTCACATCTTTATTAGTTGTTTGACAACTTTAATTAACTAGCAAACATAAAATACGGCAACATTAAGATCGATGAAAGAGCTTATCTCTTGACATCATTAACACAAAATTGAAGTAAGGTCGTCCCCTTACATGTAACTATATGTATCTTCAGTATTTGCCTTATAATTAGCAAAGGAATTTGAAATACGGGGACGTCAACATTGATTAGCGAGTTGCAGTTAACACCATTAAAGATAAACGAAGCCAGGCCGTCCCCTTAACTACCAGCATGTACCTTGTTAATAGGTGAGCAAAGTGATTGCCCATTTCAGACCAAACTACTTTGCTTGGAGTGAGGGCGAGAGGCAAAGCAGCGTTCATTTCAGTGGCTACACCAACGAGCGGCAAAAACAAGAGCGCTAGCCTAGCTATGGAAAACTTCACAAGTCATCAAGTGATCAGCACAGCAGCACTAACGCTAAACGACTGGCGCAGCTCACAGACATACCAAGACCAGCTGCCAGCATTTATCACGGGTTCGCTTGTTATTAACTCCGTTTTGAACTCACTTCTATCCCTTGCGACAATAATCGCAAACATTCTGATATTGTTGTCCCTCAATAGAACCTCTCGAGTACATGCCGCGTCCAAGGCTCTGTATCTCAGTCTGGCGGTATCAGATCTGGGTGTCGGCTTGTTTGTCCAGCCAGCGTTTGTTGGTTTTCTGGCGACCGGCGGCACGAAACCAGAGATATGCAGGTTTCTTGGAATCATCGTCAATGTTGCCAGTGTAATCTCAGTCGGTGTTTCCCTGCAGATTCTTACAGCAATCAGTGTGGACCGAGTTCTTGCTATTCGCCTTAAGATGCGTTACAAGGAGGTGGCGTCATTGTTCCGCACAAGGCTCGTGTTGGTCGCCTGCTGGTTCTTCAGCACTTTTCACGCCCTAATGATCTTCGTGAGCCGAGAATTCTTTGATCTCATCCAGATCGTCGGCATAATAATGTGTATTGGTGTGTCTACGGTATCCTATATCATCATCTCTCGCACTCTACGACGCCTCCAAAGTCAAGTTCAGAACTACGGCCCGGAAGAGGAAACAGCTCAAAATACTTTTAACATAAATCGATACAAAAACTCAGTTGCCACTGCGCTGTGGGTGTATGGCTCTCTCCTGGCCTGTTACCTTCCATTTATGCTGTCAGTTGCTGTTAAGATTGCTGTGGGTCGCAGCCAGACGTTTATCGGCGCGCAGTGGTTTACAGTAACCCTTATCTACACGAACTCTACATTGAATCCCATTTTGTACTGCTGGAAGATCCAGGAGGTGAGAGAGTCTGTAAAGGAAATCATCAAACAATATTGCCCCTGTCGCAAATAGATATGAGGACTGAGTATCTTCCTGTAAATACCCTCAGATACGTCACACATATTTCCGCAGGTATGGAGCAGGCTTGGAGCGAAAATCATCTTGCACGACGAGACACTACACGTAGGGCATTCGTGTGCACCCGCGTGCTCCGGCGCCCACCTAGACATTACGGTGAGACTTCGTTATACGGTCACCAACGGGCCATGAAAATATAACGAAGCGCGCGAAGTCTAAAAATAGAATGCAAACTATTGGAACCCTACGAGATTCAGACAACATAAGCGTTTCCTAAGAGAAATAGGAGGAAAATGAACGCGGAAATTTCGTTTCAAAAATTGTTTTAGGAACACTTGCTTACGCGCTTGAAAAAGCTTCAAATCTTCCACCATTCCGTTTTGTTTGTCTGAGTTTGTCTGAGTTATTACGTCACTCGCGCACTTCGCTATAATATCACAATTGCACTTCTACACAACTGTTCTTTAATAAGCATCCAGAATGCAGATATAATTTTAAAAGAATTGAAACTTCAATCAGTACATACAATGATATTAACAATGGAAGGATGAACATAACTGCTTTGGGTGATCGTATAGACGACGTAAAATTATAAAGGATTATACAGGTTGAGATTTCAGAATGTGGCCGTTGGCCGTATTAACGGAGTTTTCTCATAAGTAAATATATGGACGTTTCACCGGGACAAAAAAAAGTGGCGTAACGGGGTGACCGGAAGGCGGGGTTCCACTGTACTTTGTCATAGATCGCCCTGCACGCGTTGGGTGGATACTCGGATCTGGCTTCCCTGGATCTACTATTGTTAAAAAAAAAAGTAAAACAGTAATAACCATATTTCCACACAGTTACCCCGTGGCGGATCTAGGGGGGTTACGGGGGTTCAGTCGAAACCCCTAAATTGAAAAAAAAAATCAGACAATATAACAGGCTGACTTGGTCTCAGAATTCCGAAAATTTTCCGGGCAAGGCTCCCTGAAGGGGATCGCCTTCGGCGGTCTGTATATCGAACTCCCTTCTCTAAAATCCTGTTTCCGCCCCAGTTACCACATCAGCTGTAACAAGCATTGTTAACCGGCTGGAGTAATTGCTTGTAAAACTGACAGCGTGTAAAATTGTGAATAAAATGTTTAATAGCTTCATAACCGTACTATTCTTTTGATATTTTGTTGTAATTCATCTAATCTCTCATTTGGACTATTTTTGCGCCTCACAAATCTCTTGAGATTACCGCTGAACGTATGAGATCTTAAAGGAAGAGGCTGCGCAGACGTGTTCTATTTCTTTTCACGTGTAAAAAGTGACCGAGTAAGGATCTGTCCACACTACGGCTGAGGTATCTGAAAACGCAGCTTTATCTGTACGGTAAGGCCTATCGTTCACAGTAATCCGTCACGAAAACGGAGCTTTACGAAAACGCCCTTCAAACCTTAGGAATTTGAAAACGCTGGCTTCGCGTTTTAGCTTTTTGAAAACTATGACGTCACGATGATCATGTCATTTTCCTGACCGCGTTTTCCTCAAACACAAATCCAAAATGAACGGTAATTATTGTTGGGTTTTTAAATTCTTCCGGCTTAGTGTGGACGGAAAATATTTGATGCGTTTTCAGAGTGAAATCTCGGTTTGCAAATTTCTCCGGCGAAGTGTCTTCACGCTACTACAGGCTATTTTTACTAAAGGGGTGGGGCGGGGATGGGTCACTGGCGATGGGTAGTCATTTAGAACCGCTGTACAAGAAAACAGCAGACATAACGCGTGACTAAAACTGCTTCGACCTTCGGATCAAAACAAACGACGCATTTTTCACGAGAGAGGCATTGGCATCTTTTTCAGCAAAAAAAGACACTTTTTATAACGACAATGAACTCGTGTGAATCTTAAGGTAGGTGCCCCAGAATAATTATAATCCAGGGTTCTATCAGACATTTCATATATCATGAAGTATGAAATTCACGGATATCTTTCCTCCATCCGTTGGTTTGTGGTACGATTGTGTGTCTGTATAGCTAACCCCTGGATGTTTTATTAATTATGAATACAATTTCGTTCATGCTATCTTTCAAACACGAACAGCAGTCGTGTCACTAGATCTAAGACTTTTAAAGTAACTGTGCATGGGATATTACGTAAACAGTGTTTTGCTATTGCAAGCTTTGCTGAGTCACAAGACATCATTAAAACGTCGAAAAATTCTCCGTTTGAACGAAGGTTTTGCTCTCTTTTTATATCGTAAATATCATAGTTTTAATCGATCCCAATCTGTTCTGAAGCTGTGAATTACGTATTTGTCGAACTTTCATCGACGAGATTTACAACATGTTTAGGCAAGTGTACTCCGCTGAGTGGATTTCCAGTTCTCGTCAGTAACAGCAGCTAGCAGGAAGTATTTCTCCTTTCTCATCGGATTTTTAATCCTTGAAGGTTGATCAAGCAAATAATCGGAAATAAGATCACATGAGCTGAGGCCTACTTTAAACTACAGTCTTCATACTCTCCAGTGTTTGTAAAAGAATTCAATAAAAAGCGCAATGCGACAGTAGTTCTATGAGGAAGAAGTCTTTAATTGACAAACATGACACGATCTCGAGTGTTGTCTCTTCTCACTGCGTCATGAAACACCTCTTAATTTCCGTTTAGTGGTTAACCACCAACAAGATTCGCAATTATTGAATAGTTTAACTTTGAATCTCTCAGTGTTAAAGTGAATTCTGAATGGAAAGGAATGATATATTAATACAGGAAAGCGAAAGCGATACATTTCCTTGGAGTAGATCACATGATTATTGCCTGACGTTACCCGGGCGTGAGACTTTTTGCTTCCTGTGCTCTCTTTCAAGTTCGACCCGGCGCAAAGAAGAACTGATCACGCGATAAAATAAAATATCTACCATATTAACTTTGTTAAACACGATTCAAACATGGCTAACAGTACTACCCATATGCGAGCAGTTCCTTACCATTGGATCAGTTGAAATCATTTACACGTGATGGTTGACCCATCCGGATAGGTCACTCCAGAAATTAGAAACCTCTAAGAAGAGGAGAGAATTTTCTAATACATTTGTATCACGGCTGCTTATGATCGTTTCGTGAATTAAAGAAGCTTAATACTGACAGGCTAGGCTAAAGGAGGACGCATGTATTGTCGCCTAACGATTTTTTTTTCTTGTTTAGCCCCATGATGTGCTAGCATGCCGTCCGGAAACAAGAAATGTTTAAAATGTCTTAAAACATTATTCTGTTTTACTTCTGAAACGTTTGTTTCCCTCTGGGATAAATAAAGAGACATCTGTATCTTTGACATGCACATTTTTTAAACCCGCTGTGAGAGCCAATCACCGGTTGAAATCACTGTCAATAACACTTTCTTCAAGGACCTCTGCAAGATTGTAAAATTAACTACGCTATATCCTCCTGCCTAAGAGGTCTAACAAGAAGCTTTTTTAACGACTTTTTTTTTTGTACGACATACGCGAAATTGAATATAGGCGATATGGGATAGCCCTATAAATTATAAATAAGGAGCATGGTCTTATGTTCTACATCCTCAATTATGGCTCCTAATGAGTGCGTGTTTGAGTCACGCAGAACTGATACTTTCTCGTCAGCTAAAACTCATTACTACATAAAAAAGATTAAACCTCTTAGTAATCGAGTGCGAGGGCCCGATATCGGGGAATGTCCGTAAAAAAAGGACTGACGGCCAATATTCCCCAGTACGGCTCCAGCAAGCTAGGTTGGTAAGTAGTTTATTATATGCATGGAACTCGAAAACAAAAAATACACGGCTTAAGACCGTTTGCATGGGAACGGTCCGTATGGCAAAATCCCGAAGGAATCAATCAGGACGTTCGGACTTACCTCAATAACTACTTTGCCATATAATAAGCATTTTGCGTCGTAACCTTACCGTGGTCCGCGGAAGCGTTTGGGAGTTTTGTTTTTCTTTCAAATAAAATAACAAGCTTTAATGGATTAAAAGTTGGCAAGTCCTTGATGAATACCGCTTTGGTAATATGAATCTATCCGCCGGCCACATTATTGGCAATAAATATACACCAATGCGCATACGAGAAACTTGACAGTTATGATATATAAAAATAACATAACATAAGTGAAGAGCTTTTTCAATAGAGCACAACGTGATAAAATTACACATAGATACACATTTTAATAAACCATGAATCTAATCAGTAATTTTGCGCTTCCCGTTCGCGACCTGTCGCGACGGTGTCCTTGAAGTAGCTGTGGACCTCGTTAACGAAAACTTTCAATTTTACATTCATTTGCTGAATATAATAACCTTTTAATTTTTTATCATGAGCAAAGGAAGGAAAGAGGAAACATCGCTCGGTGGATAAGTCGATTTGGAGCTTTGCATACAACACTAACAAGGTATGGACATGTATGTCGTGTAAACTGAACTTCAGTTAATCACGAACAGAATGAAATCTCACACTATTTATCTGAAAAAGAGAAAGAGTTTTTAACGTTCAGGAGGACGCCCAGCACGAGGAGTCGCAATTCATTTGTATCGAGTCTGTGGTGAATTCAGCTTTGACAGTCCAAAAATATAGGAATCATATTGTAAATTATGCTGCAAATTTGCTATCTACGCGATCACAAGTCACTTGTGGGAATCTTGCTCCTGCTTGATGGACAAATCTTAGCACTTTAATGGTTTTCTTGGTTAAATATGGAATAATGAAATTAAGAACCATGCCGGTGAAATGGTAGTTCCGCTTTGCTACCACAGAGCGAGTTCGATCGATACTGTTGACTTTTGCAAAAGCGCGCTAATTTGTAAACATGCAGCAGTATTTTCTCACGGCATTCAAACCAGCTGATAGGAACATTTTCTTATTTCTTTATTTTAATCCATGCGTCTTGGATTCAGTAAATAATTGAATTTTTTGAAACCACAACATAGCTAATGTGGACACAGTGCGGTCATGTGTGAATTCCATAAAGTATCTAAAGCGGTCCCAGGAAATGATCGGAGTGACTTTTCAAACCGAATTTTTTGTCTTTATTTAAGTTATGAACTTCTCTCAGTTTAAGCCAGAGCGATCCAGAGATTCTATTTCCATGGAAAAAGAAAACAGTTCATTGAAAAATGCTCACATTTATTTTAACTAATGTGCTATGATATCTTCACCAAGCAACGACATTAAGGTAAAATGTTTACCTGTTAAATAGGAAGTAAAGCTTTCAGGGAGTACTAAATATAGCCAAATGCGTAGGAGCATGTTTTTTACTCATCCAACAGCCATTAACATGCCGGATGACTTGTAAGTTTGTGTTAGGTGGACAGCTAGTAAAGTTGTTGACAAGCCTGAACTGAGCAAATAACATCAAATTTCAGTTTTCGCAAAACATTGTGATATTTCAATGTACTCTCAGCGCTTCGATTGTCACACGTACCAGGCTCAAAGCTTCAAATCTCGTAAGTGATTTCCATACATTGCTCTTAATACTGGTTGGGAGAATATGGCAGTACATCAAGACGATATGATCTGGACGTGATGATTTTCAATATTTTCCTTACTTTACTACCTGACAATGTACAGATTTTACAAGGAAACAAATAACAGCGTTTAAACTTGTATAAAATATGTTCTCGGCATGCGCACGCGTTTTGCCTAAATTTAAAAAAAAAGCGATTCTGGAATATCTAATTATTTTATCTTAGTCATTTAGTAAGTTTGCTTATCTAGCGACCATCTTTTCCGGTCAAAAGTAAATGAAAGCGATGCTTCCTTTGTTTGTTTGCAGTTCAGATCAATAAAAATTGCGCGAAAACATTCTTAGCTAAGTTGTTGCCAGCTGAAACGATATCATTCGACCAATTTATTCACAAAGCATTCTTTTCAGGGTAAAAAAAAATGTACTTATTATATAGTATACAAATAGTGCAACTACGCCTTTAATTTTCTTTTTGAATACCGATTTTATTTTTCCGAGATGTTAAACCAAGATATCAACGATTCAAACGATACGGTTAAGTCTATTTTGACAGAGTCGTATCTGCCTTTTTAAAATATATCTGAGGTATAATTTTCGCTCAAGAGAAGGGACAAAGAAAGCCAACAAAGTGATCGCAAGTAAATTACAGCACCAATATGCAATACTCAACCAAATCATGTAAGTACATGAGACAAAGGCAAAATTGCTTTAATGCTTTTATTGTACAATGGGCTTATTTCATAATAGGGAAGGGTACAATTCCATTGTTTTCTCTTAAGAATCACACGCTGTTGTTTGTGTGATACACTGGGTTCTTGTATCTTTCAATCAGCGTAGATTTCAAGACCGTATAACTCTTTGGGTTAGTGTTGGCCGATGTTTTATCGTTGCAAAACGGATGTTTATTTATTTTTTTTTTTACCTGAACTGAAGTGGAAAGACAAGAGAGTTGTCGACATAACTAAGTTAACGAAAATTGTAACGGGGAGCGGCAGAAGCAGTCCTTTGCTTTAGCGTTGTGGCTTCTGTTTCCATGGGCAACTTTGATCGAGCACAAGTTGGGATGGATCTTTGAGAATGTAAGTATATCAAAGACGTCCAATTAATCTTTATAGCGAGCAAGCGCGAAAGTTTATCACTACAGAGTATTTCAGTCGTTGTGAGTATGCGGCACAAGTATTCGTTTTGATTTCATTGCTCTAGCTTCATCTTTACTTAGTCATGTTGTTTAACGACGAATGAGTTCTTTTATGAACTCTATTTTGAAGTTAAAATTTGCATCATAATGGCAATATCCGCATTTAAGTGTGTTTGCACAAGAATTTTATTACACTTGTTCAAAATGGCCTGTGTTTATTTAATGTAGCTAGCTCGCCGTCATTTGTCGATATCTCTGTGTGTTTGTGGTGTAAATATACGTAACTCGATAATACGCACGGATATTTTGGAAGCTGCGTTTCCGAGCCCCAAAGGGTTGATTAAGACTACGAGCAATAGCTATCGAATAAGGGTTTGATTATTCCATTAAGTCGCGTCATTTTCCTTTTCGGCTTCTATAGTTTTTGAAATATACGTTGCATCATCCAAAAATCGTACCGATCGCCGAAGGTTTACAGTTTGCGCGTTCTTTTGACCTAATATGGTAGAGTGGCGTAACAGTGAAATGATAAAACATATCGTAAATCCTCCAATAAGCACTCCCCCCCACCCCCCCTCCCCCGCCTGAAGAGGCATCTCCTCGTGTCAGTCAAAAGTTGAAATAAACGACCCCTCCCCTCTGGTAAGGGCCTCCTCTCCTCCCCAGCTATCAAGAGACAAAAAAGTACGAAGACTGAGAAGTACAGTATTGATCATGTCTAATCACTCGTGCCGCATCACTGGTATTTCTCATCACTACAGTATCACAATTAGATACAAGAAAACTAATTTCCTTTTCTTATCGCGGCTGTAGTTAGACTAGGCAATATCGGGAAAAAAAAAACGTTTCTTAAATATTGATTTATTTTTTTAATGCATATCCTTTTACCTCGGGGTATTGAAACAAATGAATACATTCTTGCTTTATCCTTAATTTGACATATGCGTGCCAGGAGCTAATTTCATTAAGATTTACAAGATTTACGGTATTTACGGTACCCTATTACGGGAAATTTGGAGGTGCGGTGGCCTCATGATTATTGCGCTAGATTCCGGATCGAGCGGCCTGGATCGAGCCGAGGCCGGGGACATTGCGTTGTGTTCTTGGGCAAGACACTTTACTCTCACAGAGCCTCTATCCACCCAGGTGTATAAATGGGTGCCAGCAAATTTAATGCTGGGGGTAACCCTGCGATAGACTAGCATCCCATCCAGGGGGGAGAATACTCCTAGTCGCTTCATGCTAAGCTCCGGCCCAATGGGCCACTTGGCTCGTATGCAGACTACCTTACCATTTCAGGAAATTAACGCTTCATGAAATTAACACAAATATTTAAAATCCGCGTTAATTTAAGTTGCGGTCATTTTTGTTTATTCCCGCGGCCTTAATTCTCATTATTTTCGCCTCAAATTCTCAATAGTATGCCATGCCAAGCTCGTGAAGGTATTGTGCAAGTGGCCATATTGCTTCACTAAGCCCGTTAGTAAGGGACAATTCCACCAACATTGTTTGTATTTCGAATGTTTACACTTGATGTTAAAATGAATTTTTACCTGTTCTCTCGACAAATTATGTTCTTTTTTTGTTTAATAGGTCGCGTTAATTTCCCTCATTTTAAAATTTTAACACCTCTTTCGCGTTAATGTCCTTTATTGGAAAGTACTATTCCCTTTTATTCGTGTTAATTTAATTCGAGTTTATTTCGAATACGTATCTTAATTTTAATTTCTTATAATGGAGTACATGCCCAATAGATCTCTACACTGTATGCTAGGAACCACTAGTTGGTTAGCAGGAGAATTAGCTGTGAGGATTACAAATGTAATCAACTTTGTACTCATTGCCTTTTGGTTTTTATTTCAGCCCCAGTATGTCTTCATCTGATGAAGCTACTCTGATCACGTGGTACATTCAGATAGTATACATCATCGGCATTATCGTTTTGGCAATTGTTGGTAATATTCTCATCTTCTTCGCAATTTGCAGCATTAAACGTCTGCAAAGAATCGATAACATGTTCATTGCCAACTTAGCAGTCAGTGATTTTCTTTTCACGCTAATCGAAACATTTTCGAATACGACTCGGAAACTAAATCCGAATTGGCGACCGCCTCACGAGTTTGTATGTTATGTTATAATGGCAGCAAGTGTCCTGTGTGCCTCAGCTTCGGTTTTGACACAAACAGCCGTGGCTGTTAATCGGTACATCGCCATTACGAGGCCGCTGCAATACCCAAACATTGTAAAGAAGACGAGAGTTTTTATTTCTATCATAGCGATATGGATTGGCGCCACCGTTCTCGCTTTGCCTCCGTTGATTTGGAGACCTCTAGCAGTTATTTGCGCACACGAGGAGTCCTACGAGAAACACATCACCTACGAGATCGTTTACATGACAGCTGAGTGGCTTTTTATCTTCGGGATTCCATTCGGAATCATGTCGGTGATTTATTATCGGATATACCGAATAGCCCGAACACACGCCAACCGCGTGAGGCCAGGTACGTCCGATGAGTCGGCCTCGACTTCAGGCAGTGATACGAACAGTAGGAATAACAATATTTCCAACTTCAAGAGAGAATTTAAGGCAGCAAAAATGCTGGTAACAATAGCTGGAGCTTTCTTATTTAGCTGGTTTCCTTTTTTCTTGACGTTGACCTTGTGGAAGTTTCATGGTGGAGTCCACAATCACCCTAAGGTGTTCACCACATGTCTGTACATTGTATACACGCTTCCCGCCATTAATCCTGCTATTTACGCGTTCTGGTCACGTGACATAAGGAGTGGCATAAAACAGCTGTTGACTTGTTGGAGACGAAACAGCTAGAAAAGAAACAACGAACGAAAGACAGGGAACGAACGTATGACGAGCTTGAACCAGGGCCATGGTAGTAGCAGGCAAACCGAGGCACTTGTCTCAGTCATTTACTTCGTTTTTGTTGTTTATAGTCATCATAAATACCCTAAATACCGAGGAGGAGAATTAAACCATGGACATTGCATCCATGTCCAATACACTCAAAGTGAGTTGAGTCGTCTGTACGCCTTGTTCATAATTCAGTTTTTCATGGACATCGCCTCAGTGATAATTTTTTCTCGCTACGATTCTGTGAACAGAAAAATGGCAGAAGAAATAAGTACCGTATATAGGCTAATGTAACAGAAAAGCCTCTTAATTTTCCGATCCAAATCGTAAAAAAATGATATAGTGAGAAAGGAAGTCATACTGAAGCCTTGGAAGGTTTGATTCATTAGGCGCGGTCGCTAAGGCCGGGTAAAAAGCTGACTTCGCATCCTCGCCACGGAGCCCTGACGGAGCCTCTGCGTAACCTTGCCGTTTCATAGAGTCAATTGACCGCGGCAAATGGAAAAGCGAACACAAAAGCTCTTTCATTGTAAGTAGCCATAGCTTTTATTAATATTTCACTACCGGGTCGAGATACACCTATCATATAGGTTTATAAAATGCTACTATGCGTCATAACTGTTCTTTATAGCCTCGTGCAAAACAACCACATAAACTGACATTCTCTCAGTTTTTCATTTTCATTCTTCCATGTGTCTTCCTCCGCGAGTTCGAGGGACGAACGCTGATTGAATGACACTTCATAAAATATTCGACTTATTTCAGGTATAAAATAAATGATAGATTTAATGTGAAAATAAATAATCTTAGTGAAGGAATTCCTCACACATTGTGAGTTCACTGGTAATTTCTATAACGTTATTCAAACTCTGACCAAAGAAAAAAGACCATACATTAGTCTCGGTGAACTATAGGTCATTTAATTCATTAAAACAACTAGCATTTAAAACACGGTCTCCTTGATTGATAATGCATTGATCTTCAATGTTTGTCACTGTTGGGTGACGTCATCATGTGCAAACTTTTCAGCTAATCGAAGAGCCAACAAACACACCTGCAGTTTACTGTCACGTGATTACTTTGGCGTCACGGGCTCCCGGACTAACTTTGTATTTGATTGGTCAAGAAATGGGAATACTGACCTAAAAGATGTCACTGAAAGTAATTTGAAAAAGTTCATCAGTCGAGTTGAAACCAGTTTCAGTTTTCACCGAGAGTTGATATTATTTTCATCAGCAGGGACAAAAAGAAGCATTTGTTATAACAGAGTTATAATCGTGACTTTACCATCAAAACATGTCATTCAACTTTGGCATTTAGTTCATTGCATTTTTAAATTCTTATTTAATTGAATTAAAAGTTTTTTTTTTCAGACGAGCTGAGATAATAGCTCATCTGCTACAATGCCCTTCCCTGCAAGCTTGACAGCGTCTGGAGTCGTGTGGCTGCCGCGGCCTGCCGTGCCTTTTATTGTTGTCAGGTTCCTTACTCGAAAAGCTGTAGAATGCCTGCAAAACAGAAACGATACATACATTGGGGTCGCATTTGTTCACAAATTAAGAGGACAAATTTCTTTGTTATAATAGACCGCAGAAGACTTACTCCCAAGATGTTAGCTGATGCTTCGTATTTTAATTCATTATTTTCTTACAGAGAAATTTACGGAGAAACGTATTCTCTTGTTAAGTCTTTAACAATTTTGCTCTGTTTTGAAGGATACCTGCTCAATGCGTGCATTTTTTGAGCGTTTTGTGGTGTCGTCACTTAGCTATTAAGTTTCTCAGAAATCATGCTTAACTGACATGGTCAACGATGAACTACCCCATAAAAGACTTTAAGTAGCAGCCGATGGCAGGCGCGGGAAAGCACCTAAAGGTCGGCACACACGAGTGGACTAATCCCTTCGACTAGTCCCTGCAACTAGTCCCCTGAAGAGTTTACACGAAGGGACTGGTCGCAGGGACTTGTCCCAAGAACAGTTCGCACGAGGTGTTTTGAGGAACAAGTCGCAGGGATTCGTCCCAAAAATTTAAACCAGTTTGAATTCGTGGGACTAGTCGTAGGGACCAAATGTTAGTCCCTGCGACTAGATGTTGTGGAAAACATGGCTAGTTCACATGATGGGACTTGTCCCCGCGACTAGTTGCGGGGACCAGTCCCCTCGTGTGTGCCGACCTTAACCAATTGCAAGTACTCGATTACAAGCGCGGGAAAACATGTAACCGAATGCAAGCGCGGGAAACGTTACTCCGACTGGACAAGAGAGGGATTATATTGCCGAATAGTCATTGTAAACGCGCTATCGATCTCACTTTCATTACACTCTAGAGTCTCTAGAGAGACCGCTTCGTAAAATATCCAAAGATATTACTCCAGCTTGCAAGAAGTGAGTTGCGGGAGTTATACGTACTTCTCCTATTTTCTGGTGAACGTTCTTTAGTACTCTTGTAACCTCTTCTTTGTACCATCTCGGATTTTGGAAATCTTCATCATCACAACTCCTGCACTGCTGGCCGTACACCTTAAACCTCAAGGAATCTAAAGAAGCAGGAGAGCATGTAACCAGAGATCAAAAAATTGTTTCTCATTATGACACCCAAGCGGACACAAGCTGAGATGAGAAGACACAATTTGGAAGTAAGGTTGTGATCTGCCAACAAATTCTCGGGAAATAACAAGTAGGCAATTTGGAGGAAAAAGTTAAAAAGCTCAATTTGATCGAAGATACGGAGGCCGGGGACATTGCGTTGTGTTCTTGGGCAAGACACTTTACTCTCACACTGCCTCTCTCCGCCCAGGTGTATAAATGGGTACCGGCGCATTTAATGCTAGGGGTAACCCTGCGATGGACTAGTATCCCATCCACGGGGAAGTAAAAATACTCCTAGTCGCATCATGCTACAGAAACCGGGATAAGCTCCGGTCTGATGGGCCACTTGGCTTGTATGCAGGCTTTACCTTTACCCATAAACAAAACGTTCATTTAAACGTACACTGATTTCTCGCCTCACTTTCACCAATTTTCTTGAACCAAAATATAACTATGCCTGCCATAGACGTCCAGCTATTCCCGCATTCGCAGCGGAATTTAACTTTGGCTCCGTTTTTAAACCTTCGCCATTCGTTCGACATGTCACCGATAGTTGGCTCCAGTGTCCACTCGTCCGGATCGAAATCCTGGAAGATTTCGTCAAAGGTATTGTGCCAATGTTCTCGCAGGTTTAGATGCGGCGTGATATCATCAACCTGAGATGCCATTCTGTCAGATTTCAGATTCAGCTCCTGTGGAGAACTTTGATTTAATGTAAATCCTCGAATTGGCATTTATTTCAAATTCAAGATAAGGCAGTGGGCGCTTGTTCAAGAGAAGGTGCTTATTCAAACATTTGCTCCTACATCAACATATTCTAAGTAGTAGAACACAAAATCGTCCATATACTGTAGTGGTTCAAAAATTGAAACATGGACTAGGTACAAAACCTATTCATATCACAATAATGGTAGTCACATTAGAGAGTTTAAGTGACCACGACGGCGACGTCGAGGACACCTCCGAATCTCACGGTACTCTAAACTCGAAACTGAAAATAGAAGACTGGGTAAAATTTGAAATATAAATATTAAAAATTATCCGTCTTAGTTCACGTTCTCCACACAACGTGGAATTTGGTCTTCATTTCACTGAGAACGGCAAAGAAATGTACCAAGAATTATTATGCACGTGCACAGCCATTGTATTGTTCACTGTTGCCGTTGTCGTTGCCGTTGTGGTTTTCTTAAACTCCCTAAATTTGTCGGTTCGGCGAACACGGAAGTACGAATTAGATATCAATATGACCAAATTTTGGGTTGCGTGGAGAACGTGAACTACGACAGATAATTTTTAAAATTTAATATTTCGAATTTTACCCAATTTCATGCTCATGCACATCCACGGCCAATGACTGTAAAAAAAAACGCCACACGGGTGATGAAACATAAGCAACACTCTACTCAACCTTTGTAATTGGTCTCAAAAAGAAGGCAGGGGAGAGAGGGGCTACGAAGGGCGTTTTTTCGAAGGTGGGTAGGGTACGTGGCGCTTATTTCCTCTTATTTGAAGGGGGCCATACTTTAATGCTTCTATTCGAGGAATAATTCGAGAATTAATTCGAGGATTTATTGTATAGACACTGGCAAAGGTTTTGCAAAGCATGAACAAGTAAAAATTAGCGATAAGAAAACGTTTCGGTGACATCGTGACCATTTTCAAGCTCAAAAGCAACAAGATAAACTGTCAGAAAATTCGCTCAAAATTAATGGTGTCACCATGTCACCGAAACGTTTTCTTATCGCTAATTTTTACTTGTTTGCGGTATAGAGTCAGCAAAATAAAATTGAGATCAGAAACTGAAAGAAAACTTCGAAATTTTAGTGGCAAAACTCGCTTTTTGGTATAGAAACCTCGTTCTACTGCCATAACATTAAGGAGGACAAAGTACACCAGCTTACACCTATAACCAGATTCTACACACTGACAATCAAAGTGCCAAAAAGATTGCGGTTTAAATCACCCAGTAAAATCCACGCTTAATCACTAAACGAATCTATATCAAAATGATTCGTCAAATAAAACTTTCAGCAAGGGTTCTCTGCATCCGCAGTGGATGTCCCGTACCTACGACTCGGTTTCAAGTCCCTAGTGAGATAATACACGGATGTTCGTTGTCTGTATACTGGTATTCGTGACCACGGTCTCCTCCCGTAGGAGGCTAGGAATTTTACAAGGCCAGTGTCGGCCGTTTGCATGAAACCATTCGTCAATCACACTTGATTTGCTAAATAAATGAAAAATCACGAATTTCACATGTCTTCCGGTCAAGGAAGGTTCGTCCGGCTGTATTTTTGGATAGTAATCTTACATGGAACCATGATCGATAATGTCTATTCTAAATAGATTAAAATGATAGATTACTACGGCATGAAATTGTTACACATCTGACAAGCAAGGAGTTTAAATTCGACAAAATATACAGTGTTTTAATATCACGATCTTTGTTTAAAATCGGCCCCTAGTCGGTTAAACTCGTATGAAAAAGAGAGCTCTCAGCAAGGTTAATTAACTTATGTTCTAGTAATAATAACTGTTCGCTATTTTCGTATGGACAAATATATAATATGGCCTAACAGGTATTGTCATATGGCTCACCTCCCTCGGTTGAAACGATGTGTGGAATATTTCGGTTTTTCCAGTGCAGATGATGCTGTTAACTCTAGTCTTCACCACATATTCGACCAAAATCTAACAGATAATTCGATGGGTTTTTTTGCTCTGTTTCTAAGTTAGCATTCAACTTAAATCAAATCGTAAAAGCTTTTCTTCGATAGTTTTATATCCAGAACAATATTTCGTTTCCCGGAAAAGATCTGGTTGTTACCAGTCTTTACTCATTTTGAACAAAGCGGACCCAGTCAAGCGCGAACTTGTTGATCCCAGTTCTCTGGTTTTTTTGCCCAGTCGCGTCGACGACAAAAGATAAAATACAAATTGGGCAACAAGCTGTGTTTTGCTAGAGTCGTCTTGTAATATCTGTAATTAGTTGATAGAGCAGGTCTTAAACGGAAAACAATGTATTTACCTAAAAATATGCCGTAAATTTGGCTTGACCGACCGGCCGGAAAATTTCCAAAATAAACGTAATATCTCTAAAGGAGTTCAGATTCCCAATTCAGTTAAATATCCAAGTGGAACAAGTCCTTACCGTTGGCTTTTGTAGAGCTAGTCTTCCGATACTTTCAACGCATATATCCAATGCAAGAAAACTATAAAAGCTAATCAAAACTAGCTCTTTGTGAATGAAGATCGGGATCAGAAATAGACTAAGTAAACAGACAACGTGTCAATTCCGCATGCCATATGATTCAAATTAAGGGTGTCTGCTTTCTGAAACAAAAAACCCTCTTCATTTGTGTTGGGGTTGCTATCTCTGTTGAGTTGATATGATCTAGTGGTAGGAGTTCCTAGACTCTCTAAGTTAGAAGTGATCTCATTATCGCCTGTGATGTAATGGCCGTCTGTGGGCTACCTAAATAGAAATTAAAAAAGGTTTACCAGGATGTTCCACCTCAGGCAAAACAAAAACATGGCGTATAGTTTACTTGTGTTGTATCCGTATAAAATCCCAATGTTTTTCTCCTACTCGCACGAATATTGAAGAGAATCCAGCCAGATCGTTCACTGGTGTGATCAGAAATAGCAGTGGGATTTTCGAGATGTTTATCCAGGGCTTTTTCAAGGGTGCGTCTGTGTTCTCCATATATTGTTTAAATAATTGATATAGACAAAAATAGGTGAAAAACAGTAAACTGATCTTAACAGAAAACAGAAATGAGATCTAAGGGAGATCCTTGGATATATCAATGTCAGCCCGACATGGGAGGGGTAAGGGATCTGCCAGATGTGTCTCAATGAGGAGGACTGGGCCCTAATATCGTCTTGTTTTGACAGCCATCTTGGAAGTGAAGAAGTCGTTACTTCCAGACGATGTGTTCCATCGTAGTAGAACCCAACCAAAGCCTTCCGCCAGTGTACGCAATTTTAAACATCGAAACAACTGGAATGGAAAGAAAAAATGACCGCATCATACAAATCGGCATTGTTAAAGTCGAGAACAATGTTATAACACCGTGGATGGCGTATGTGAATCCTTGCAAACCAAGAGTGGAACAAACGAAAGCTTTCCGTGTGCACAAGATATCACCAGACCTTCTTCAAGGGAAGCCGACGTTTGCCGAGGTTGCTCCGAAGTTGTGTAAATTCTTGGAAAATGTTGAGTATGTTGTCTGCTACAACTGTATCTCTGATTGGAGCTTTTTGATGGCTGAGTTTAACAGACTGCAAGATATCGAAGACAACAAAGCACTGATGAGAAAGATCAAATGGGTCGACTTACTTCGATTTGCGATCAAGTCATTCCCCGAATTAAAGAATTACAGAGCTCAAACGCTGTTGGACAAATTCTCGATTAAGACCAAAAAAGCGCAAAGTTTTCATTATCAGTGTTATTTTGAGACAGGAGACCAGCAAGATTGTGAAGAGTTTTCATTGTTCGAACAGGGAGAGTTAAACTGGGGTGAAATATACCATGATCCTGTGTGCGATTCACTTGCAGCACATTCACTCCTGAAGAAACTACTGGAGAAAAACAATTACTCCAACATTGCTGACCTCGTTAATAATTGTCCACAGTGTTTAATTGATACAGAATTATTCCTTGCTTTGGAAGTGAAGTGGAAGGAGAGGAAAACATCAGATGAAGAGCTCAAGCCTTTTGCTTCACGTGCAGAGAAATTTTATGGCACCATGCCTTCACTGAGAGGGAAAATGCTGGAAGAAATGTCGAAGGAGAAAATAGAAGCAGCTTTGTTTTCAGGATTTGAGAAAGATGAAAGAGTTTGTCTTATATACAGAGCTGCTGTATTGAAAAAGGGCAGTGATTCACAGAAACGTAAAGCAGATTCACCTGACTTTAATTATGTTAGCCCTAAAGAGTTAAAAGGAGAGTAAAATCTTTTGGGCTGTGACTAGATTGCTCTAATATTTAGTATGGGCATAGTTTTCAATTTTTTATTCACATTATATTTCTTAGGTTGGTTTCATGATGCATGGCGGGAGACACTTTTAGAAGAGCAGAGTCAGCTGTTGATTTGCAATAATTTTTCATGTGAAAAATATTTTATAGTCAATATACAGTATGAGCCTTGCTTTACAGAAATCTAGCCTGAGTATCAGGCCCTCTTAAGGAAAGGCCTGACACTTGGGCTAACAGAAATCCAAGGGAGTTTTTTTAATTAAACAGACAATAAACAGAACTGTTTATCTTCCTTGACTCTGGTCATTTAACTTTAAAATAAACTTTAATGTTTAGTCCGGTGATCCATAGGCTCAATTACTAGTGTCTGTTTTAGGAAATGAGCCTGCGCTCATCCACAACTGGGCCAGAGTTAGTGGCAGAAATCAAGCCTAAGTCAGCCTAGGAGGTGCAGCCTTGAGTTCCAGTTTCTGTCCTTTTGACTTCATTTTCTACCTGTTTATTAAATGTCCAGTTAATGGACAAACTGAGTCAGTCATTGTCCCAATAGTTTCAGCAAAGTAATGGAGATTTGATTTCTTTCATCATTCATCATTTACCAATTCAAAATGACTGACCTGCCAGCAGGCTCTCTTGTGTTACGGCGGGAGCAAAGTTGTGCCAAATCCCTCACCAGCTCGTTTCGCTCTCTGATTCATATCTTGCAACCCTGCTCATTGACTTTGCTCCTGCCTCAATGCATAAGAACCTGCTTGCAGACTAAATGACTGAATTAGACCTGCTCCATATATCTCAGGGCAATATTGAACACTTGCATTGTGGAGAGCAGTATATTAATTTAAACACCCAGATGTTGTGACAATCTCAACTTGGGTTGTAGGCCTTAGTTGATTCTCCCCACAGCTGACAACAGCCATGTTAGAAATACAAAATGAAACACAAATCAACTCAATGGAGCTAGGTTACAATGTTGTAATTATAGTCATACCTGTATATAACGGTCACCCTTGGGAAAAGGCCAGGTTACCGTTACATACAGGGTGACCGCTGTACACAGGTTTCCTTTAAACTCCCCTGGAAGTCAATAAATAGCATTTCAATGTGCAAATAATCACTCAATTTACGTTTTATTGACAATAACGAGTGACAGCAACGCATTAAACACGATAAAAGAGGCCTATAAAATGTCTGTGTTGTACTTTTAGGGAGGTGCAGTAACAGTCTACTGGAAGCTAATGAACAACGTTTTTAAGTGGAACATCACTCAATTGACATTTATTGAGAACAATTTGAAACAGGAACGCAATGAATACGACAAAAATGCCCATAAAATGTCCGTGATATACTTTAAGACTGGAAGGTTCCGTATACTTTGATCCAAGTCTCCTGTGAGTGGCTGCATCGGAAGCTGATAGAAGAGAAATTTGATGCCGAGCGCTGTCTTGTCTATAAAACAGTAGCCTAATACAGTGTAAAACCGCGCCTGTCAACATGATAATTACAGTACAGTGCTATAATCGGGGAACTATGATGAAAGTGAAAGCAGTGTGGTACGGTTGTGTTGTTACAGTTACAGTTACTATTGCTTGAAAGCGACGGCACTTTAATGGTATCTGTTGCAAGCATGTGTCGGACATAGGCGATGACATGTATTAGTAGTTGTGTTTAATACTAATATTTGTATTTTTGTGAGACCCCTGCCTTGGTGGCTGCTATTTAACGAGCTGATGAATAAAGCTTGTCATTACTCGTTAATGTAACCCAATTTCGTGACCGTTAAATACAGGTAAAAGATAATGAAATTGTGGATTCAGGAATTCTCAAAGGTGACCGCGTCTGTTATATACAGGTGACTGCTATATGCAGGTCAACTTAACAGTAAATATAAGAGACGATTTTTGGGAAGTTGTTCAGTGACCGTTATACACAGGGTAACCGCTATATACAGGGCCTTTATATACAGGTTTGACTGTACTACGTTGTAACCTCACTCCATTTTTCTGCATAGCCAAGCGATTTTTCCAAAGAAGCTGTCGAGAACTCTGAGAGCGTCAGAAGAGAGTGACTATTTTGACAAGCTTGTTCCCAGGGTTCACGGTCTTCCTCCCTCGAGAAAGACGGGAGGAAGTGATAGGACTCTGGGAGCGAGGCTGCTATTGTCACGCGGCTGTTGATTTCAATAACAAACATGATGCTTCTGGTCGGATGCCTCCGTTAAAGGGAAACCAAAAATATCTATACATAAATTCTTTTCCGAAAGAAATAAGTTGTTTCGATTGGTATGTTCTGCACTGAATCGCTGAACGATTTCGTTCGGACAAAGTAGACTCAGTGGGACTCTGTCGACTGAATCGCTAATCGACGATTTAGCAAGGTGGGCAATATTCTGTTGTTTCAGTGTGTAATGACACCGCGTGCATACATGTATGTGACAGATATATGGTCTGGTTTCCATATTTTGGCGAACGATCGTCGAATTGCAGATCAAAAATTCTTTGTTTAGACAGACGTCTTCGTCTATCATCTCGGTGGCATCATGTTATCGAAGAAAAAAAAGATGGATATACTATTCTCTTCGCCCCATCGACGTCACTATTCAACACTTCATAGCAACTTCGACTCTATTATATGCATTTGTCTGTCTTAGTAGCGAGTCTTAGTAGCGAGTCTTAGTCCTGGTAAACATTGATCGCGACCGTTTTACGGTGAAGAATCGTCCCACAGGAGCAGGTCTCCTTCACAGAAGTTCACAGACACTCTTTGGATTCATCACGCGTTCCTCTAGAAAAGATTGCGTGACAAGTCCATGTTATTTTATGCATAAAACGCAACTGTTGGAAGGGAATCTCTTAAGCTCAGAGGATTTTCCGTGTTTTCGTCATTTCTGTGTTTACAGGAATAAAAGGGTTTAAACCCTCGGTTAAAAGCAAGTAACAGTTCTTCAGTCAGTTTGGCAACAAAGTAAGAGCTTTCGAGCTTTTACTCAATTTTTATTGTCTGTTCTTTTCTTTTGACTGCTGTTGTTTCTATAATATTCTTTGTTAGATATTTATTTTGGAGTGAACCTTGAAACTTCTTCAATTTCTTCTACATAGAAATTCGTTTTGCGGTTTTTCATTGCAGGAGTGTTTTTCTCTCGAGTCCTTAGTTTAACAAATAAATTTTGGATGTTAGCAAAAACTTATAAGAGCTTTAATTAGTTTTTCTTATTGCCCGTTCACTCTAGAAGACGTCTTTATGTACAAATCGTCTTTCCTAGATTTGAAAATATTTTCGTTCCTTCTTTAGAACTGCGTGCGTTATTTTTGTCCGCGTGACTGAAGTCCTAACTATAGCGCGAGCTACTTAATCACACAAGAACGTATGTCATATGGGTTTTCGAGAACTGAGGCTAGACTTCAACCAGGCGCGAGCGCAGTGCAATAAAATTCCTCACTGATCGCTGCTACTCGACTGGAAGGTCGACAAACCATGTCGTTACACACCCTCTAAACCGCCAGGGACTTGTACTTGCATCGACTCAAACTTGTACTGAATGGTCTGCACAGAGCTTGTTGAGACTTCAATCAACTAATAACGGATATATTGCTAAGGAAATCAGATACTACCTTAACGATTTCGTGTTGCTGACTCTGTCTTACTTTCTTTCAGATTCAGAAAACACTTCCAGACCATGGACGAGTCAACAAGTCAATTAACAAACAAAGAACTAAATAGTTTAATGGACAAGTGGGAAAATGAGACTTTGGTTCAAATAGCTGACCAGGCTGAAGAACGAGGTCAAACCGAGGAACTAAATAGCTTAATGGACAAGATGGAAAATGAGACTTTGCTTCAAATAGCTGACCAGGCTGAGGGACGAGGTCAAACCGAAGAACTAAATAGCTTAATGGACAAGATGGA